CCCCAAAACCCCAAAACCCCAAAACCCCAGTATGTATATATATTTTAGTAAGTTTTGAAATTAAGGAATTAGAAATTAATTAAGAATCGATTAATATTTAGGAATTAATTAAGCTCAGACAGTTGGGTGAAGTAAATGAACTAGACCCTCATTCTTCTCCTCGCCTGCAAAAGCAAGTATATTCCTCTTTGGATGCCATTAAAGGCATATCTTACTTGAAGAAGAGCTATAACTATAAAGAGTCTGCTTTGTATTTAGTCCTCCAAATCCATTACTTGAAGAACTGTATTAGGAATCAATATCTATAGCTTCCTCATTGGATTTATTTTTAGTAAGTCCCTCATAGACTTCGACGTAGAATTTCTTATTAAAGTCATCTTCACTGATTGAGGCAATATATTACCCATCATAAGAAATATTTAAAGCTAGTACCTTGAAATCATTATTTGAGATGGTATTAAAAGTGATAAATTCTTGCATGTCCCAGAGGCATATTAGCGAGTCACTACCACCTGAGACAAAGTAGTTATTGTTTGGATCAACAGCTAGAGAGTTGCAGGGTGTATAGTGATAGTTCAAAGTTGCGAGAGGTTAGGATGAAAGAGTCTGACCATTAAAAACAGAGATAGCACCTGAAGAATCAGCTACTAATAATGCCTATCCATTAGCTGACTTGTCCCAAGTAAAGTCATTAACCTCATTCTTAAATTTTATCTGCTTGATAATTTTCCACATTCTGAAGTCATAGAAACAAAGTTCTTCTTATATATTAGAAACTCCTAAAATGTTTCCATCTGGATTGAAAGTAAGGCTCAAATTCTCCTCCTTTGTCTTGTCACTCCTGACCTATTTACCCGCCTTTGCGTCCCATATTCTAATTGTCTTATCCATTGATGTAGTCACGAATACAGATTCGTTTGTTGGATGCCAAGCTAGTGACTCTACTTAATCTGAGTGACCTTTATATTCCTAGGTCTTAGTTAATCCGTAGCCATCTAAAGAAAACATCTAAATGTTTTAAGTTTAAAATTGACTCGAAAATTTGTTGATAGAATTGAGTTTGATTTGATTTACAAGAATTTAACTTACCTTTATAGTTGTATCATATGAGCCAATGGCCAATTTAGAACCACTTTTATTCCATTGTAGACAGCAAATTCTTTTCTTATTCACAGGGAAATCAGTGAGCTTATAGGTTTTGAAAATTTCTGATTGAGATTATGCCTTTGGCTAGACATCTAAAAACATTGACAAATTCATCATTTTTATTATTATTTATTATTATACAAATTAACTCAGTAGTCTTATAATGAATGCGTTTCGGGGTTTTGGGGTTTTGGGGTTTTGGGG